AATACAACCTTTCACTCAACAGCTAGAATGAATAGAGTACTATGAATACATATAGTGGGGCTCAAACATTCACCAGGTGGGTGGGACTGATCAAAACAGAAAATACAGCCTAAACAGCCAACCTTAAATCTGGCCACACTTGGTCCTCTGTGCTTCAATCATGGGTTTGTCATCATAAAACAGCACCGGATGGCTCCTGTGTACAGCCTCCAGCCTGGTGAGCTATTTGATTTGAAACAGAGGACCTTACCGACCCACTCATTGAAACAAACATTGCTGAGTCAGTGTAGCTTGATGATTCGGGAATGATCCCGCCTGCAGTCTGAAACAATGCCAAAGTAGGCTAAAATGTGTGCCAGATACTCACAAATGCTCACTGTTAGAAGGGATAGAGCTGGGAATGGCTTGTCAAATCATGAACCATTATTTCTAATCAAAAAGCCAAGTGTTACCCAAGTGTAGCATCTACACTGCTTCTCTGCGTTAAAAAAAAGAAAGAAAGAAAGAAAGAAAGAAAAACTTGTTTTAAATTTAATGTCTTTTTGGGCTGATGCTTGGACAATGCAAGACAAATGAAGATGTCACATACCTTGAAATAATTTCCACTTTGGGTACTGATACAGGAAATGTTTGTAGCTGCAGCCCTTGAAGGACGGACAAAATTATAATCACTACAAATGAGAGCGAGGGAGGAGGATCTACAATAAGCCCTGTCATGTGTTAAGGTTTGAGTTGCTCCATGTAATCACTCAGAAATCTCAGTAATTCTATCAAGCAGCCAAGGGTTAGGAGAGACCATGAGAAACAAAAAACACAATGATGAAGGCAAAGATACGTCACACAAAAGAGCCGCTGCTTTTTTTGGAAGACAGGATGTGGACAGAGAGAGAGAAAGAGAGGGTTAAAAGGATGTGGAGGAAAGAATGTGAAGGAGATAGAGAAGAATATGAGGAGGAGACAGGATGGGGAGGAGACAGCCAGACTAGCTTTGACTTTAACTCCTCCGACTACTTGTAAGTAGGAAGTAGGGTCGTGTCATGCTGGAGCGGAGGAGGAGAGGCGAAGAAACAAAAAAGAAAACAGGGATCTTTAAATGGTGCCAGGTGACAGGATGAGATGTAGCTTTATTATCCCATAATGGGATAATAAAGAAATGCCTCAGTAAGACGAGAGAGAGCACCAAACCTGACAGAATTACTTTGCAGAATTAATCTATTAGTTTAGTAGCGATTGCTACTCTTGCTGTAAAATCACAGTCCAGCCTTTTTATCTATTCTTCCTAAGTCTCTGAAAGCACGCAGCACTGTGTGGGCTGTCACACAGTGTATCAAGGAGCCCTAACACTAATTTTAGTCTATATTGTGAAACCTGCAAATATTTAACTTTACATACCAAGTCAATGTTGTTGAAGAGGCACTTTAAACATAGGCCTGACAAGAACAAATGCCTGTGAGTTTATTTAGGTTAATAAGTTATTGATGGAGGGTTAAAGTCAAATAGCTGAAGGGCCGTGCTTGATTGTGAATAATAACCTTTTTCTTCCTTAATCTCTTCAGACTTGTGGGTCTGCTCCTGTGCAGTGCGCCTATTTTCACAAATAAATTCTCTTTACAATTCGCTTTTAGCTGAGAAAAGAGATGTTATCAGAGATGTTATCATAAGATATCAGAATTATTCATTCAGTCATCAACCTGTAATATCATTTGCCAGACTGAGCTTGCTATTTTTATTATTATATTATTATTAACAAAATAGTTGATTAATTCAACTAATGTTAAAGTAATCCAACAAAACCCATTTCAGTAAATGATTGGATCTAGTTGACCCTGAACTCTGAGCTGCCGCATGTAAGATAAATGAGTTGTATTTTTTTACGTCAGGGTAATTAACTGTATAAGTTGGCATGTCGCCCTTCACCCTGCTGTGATATATTTAGCTTTTTTAAAAAAAAAAAATAAGTTAAACTCAGTCCCAAATCACCTTCACTTTTTCATCACAGTTTGATGCGATCGCTATAGCGCTAAACGACATTAATACAATAATGGAAAGTTTTAACAGCAACAGCAGCGGAAGCTTTAGCTCCTGTCACGGGATTAGCTAACCGACCTAGCGGTTCATAGACAAGCCCAACAGGTGTATTGTCTGCTGACAGGTAATGCAAGCGGCTCTTTCCCCACTGGCTTCATTCGTAGCTCTCATAACGTAGTTGTATCCCACACGCTTGACTTTATAAGTTGAAAAATTGGCAAGCGTACCTGTTGTGCGGCTACCTGTGGTGAAGTCATATTATGCTAACGTTACCTTAGCTTCGCATTAGCTCGCTGTTCACCGACGCTGAACTCGGAGCCGCTGCCCTCAGATAATTAAGGTTAACGTCTCGGCGACAACTAAGTTCAGCTTATACACAATCGTTTGAACCGAGCAGGACGTGCAGATTCATTGTAAAACAATAGAAAAACAAAGTGGCGACATCTTACCTGTTGCGCTGCCTGTCAGCGGTAGGTCCTGGGCGAGCCGTGAAACTGAATCAGCTGCTGTCCGCCGCAGCTCCAGCTTCAGCCAGCCCTCTGGGGAAATGCTTCACCATAACAACCGGACCTGCGCCCTCTCCTCCCGCCGGACAGCCTCCACCAGAGGGCG